ATGCTTGCAAAACTGAAATATTTACATACATGTAATATGCAGAACTTGAAAAGCAACTAATCTTGAGTAACTTATAAAAATATGATAGTTCTAACTTCTTTCATTTTTCATTAAAGCGATTGTCAGTGAATTGAATCGAAGAGTAAATGAATGGATGTTGGAGTGTCATGAAGTTTAGCTTAAAGACTTTCAATCATGGATATGAACTTTAGCTTGTATAAGCATAATTTATGTTTAACAATGCATACATCATCTTATTCTTTACCTAAACAACTTAGCAGTTTGTAAAATCAGGTAGATGCTTGCTGCACCACCGATAAACAGTGAAACTCCAACGCCTAAAGTCATCTTTGTTCCAACGGGACTTTCATACCAAAATTTCATAGCTAAAGGGCGGTCAATTGATTAATCACTCAATTAATAATAGAAACAATTCTAATTTTTGATTGTTTTTATTTTTCAACTGAAGATTAAAGTAATTGCAATATTGAATAATATAAATTAACTTCAAATAACTTCACATCACTTAGTGAGAGTAAAGTAAATTATTACATAACTTTAAAAAAAAAACAGAGCAAAAAATGGGAAAGAAGCGTTTGCAAAAACCACAAAAATATTATCACAGGCACAAAAATAATGCAACACCAATTTATAATCTTTAATTCAGTGAACAAGTTAAAACAATAAAAATATCACGCATGTTGAAACTATGTCACTTCAAATGTTTATCACAACTTTATCACTACAGGAGAATATTTTGTAATAAATAATTTAAAAAGTTTTTATCTACGTATGTAGTAAACTGTGAATATATCTTGTAATTAACAGCTTTATTTAGATGAGACGATGGAATATTGCGTCTTGATAAGAGTATCACCAAAGCTGAATTACATATCAGTTAAACTGAAGAAAGTTGAAACGAATCGATCGCGAAACTTCTTCTCTGAATGAATGGTTACCGATGAATGATAAAGCCATGAACAACTGATTGTTGTATCACTCAAGAGTCGTAAAGTAAGTTTTTTTTTTTATTTTTTTCCCACATTCACGTTCACGATAACCTTACTTATATGTACATAATTTAAGATACGATAAATTAGTGAAAACACACTGGTCGATCACTTAATTGTGTGCATGATTTAAATCATTTTGATTTTTAATAAGATAATACGAAAGATTGAAAGATAAAAATGAAATAATCTCAATCACATTTTTTATTATTGTCACGTGTTTCTTACCTGAGACTGGTACGACGATCTTCCATCAAATTTTCATTATCCTTTATGGTTTTTAAAAGAACTTGAAGAACATGTTTATTCAGAATCTGATTCGATTCATTTGAATTGTTGCTGTTCAATTTTTCAGCCATTTCCTTTCGATTTCTTTTTGTAACTTGGAAAGCACTCATTTATTTATTATTTTCAAGTTTTCATTTTTGTCTCTTAAAAAATAAGTTAATTAAAAAATTTTTAAAAGCAAGTTTAGATTTAAACCATGCAACTTAATTTTCAACTTGAATAAGACAGAATAAAAAAAGTTTTTAGAGCTGTCGCGTAGAGTTCGTGCTGATGGGAACTCACTTATGAATACTGACACAACATTTTATTTAATCTGTCTAAACAATATGATAATAGAAACGTTTTTAGGTATTTAACAAGCAAAAAAACTATTGTCTTTCGGGGTTTATTTTCTTATAATAAGGTTTGTTTATAAATAATGTCATTACAGAATTATTAAAGGGAACATGCATAAATATTAAATCAAGCTAACTTTTAATTAATTTTCTTAGAAAACATGGAATTTAAAAAAGTAAAAAGTCGTCTACTTATTACATCACTTCCGAAATTCTTTCGTTTGCACCCCACTAACACATTATCACGATTTTAATATTATTCAGTAATGTAAAAGTTTTTAATCAATCTTTTCAAAAAGAGAAAAGTAAATAACGGTGGAAAGAGTGCGAGCGGAGCAAGTAAATCTGATAAACAACTGCCTCGGTTTTCAAAGACACAGGTTGCCTACAATGTCTCATTTTAATAGTTTCATCACGTTTTGACGTTATTATTCATTTTGTTTCTTTTTTTTACATTTACAGCCGCATTTCTTCATTTTTATATACCTTTGATTTTTCCTTCAAAGACTCTGAAAAATATTTTCATGTTGGTGATGGTGTCAACAGCATGACTTCTCCACAAATGTTATTTCTATGAGAATAATCAAGCTAGATGAAGTTGAAAGACGTGAAAATAAGAAAAATTCTTATTTTTTTCATTTGTGAACGAGATAAAAAAATAAATTACTTTAAAATATAAAAATTAAGCAAGCAAAATTTTCCAAAGATTCAAGTTTTCAGCTCAGAATTGATTCAATTTTATTTTCCTTATTCTTTGATTTATCTTATTTTGTGTTTCCATAAAATGCTTAAAATTTTCTTTTTCTTTATCATGAATTTTCATTAAACAAGTATAGATAAATTGAAATATAAATTACTTTACAACCCTACGTAATGAAAAACAATTCCTTAGTTTTCCTTTCTACACGATTGTATAATTGTATGCTGTATGCAACATTTATTGAATTCTTTCATGTAGTCTTTTATGTTTATGGAAATCGATGTTCTCCTATTTTGTATATTCTTCAAATAATAAGTAGGTTTGTTCCTCTCATTCAAATGAGTTCGATATAAACTGTTTCATTGTGTTACGTTCAAATATTTTTACAAATTTTGGTCACAACACTACATTGCAAGCAAATTTGATTTGATTTTGTCAAATCTTTTAAATAATTTAAAGATCTCAAAGTTCGTTTTGAGTCGAATGATAGTTTTTTGGATAACATTATCTAAATTTTAAGATCCCTGCACAATAAATTGAAAAACGTTAATTTGAAACAAACTGACTTCATCGAGTAACATTCCGTAATTAAATGGAATCTTTGAATATAATTCTTATAACCCACATACAAGTAAAGTTTGTTGACTTAAACCAAAAACAAAGAAATGAAATTTGTTTCTCTCTATTTTGATAAGCTTTACAAACTTTCTAGCTTCATATGTATGAACTAAGAAACTTTACTAATTAACTGATTTAAATCAAATGCTAAATTATTATCAGATGTGCATGAAATTTGCATTTCAAATCACGTTTTATTTGATATTTAATCATTTCATTCTTTTTGAGCTTCTTATTTGTATTTTTATGAAGAGTTTTCTTGTTTCAAAGAAATTTAACAATTTGATTCTTTTAGATTCATCACTAAATTAGATATTTAGGCATATTATCGATTATGACTTGCTAAATTATTTAATCATTGTTACGTACAGATTTATAACTTTATATATCATTTGGTATATTTCTTGGTCTTCCGTGTAAAGAACGGTTGACTGTTTAGGATGTTGTAAGCTGAAATGTTTAAAGAAGCAAGCATTTTTCTTTTACGATTTAAAAAAAAATTCATATGTTTTTACTTTTTTCAGTTTCTAGGTCTTGAGATCTATTCATTTTTTATATTATTTAAAAGAAGAAATACATCCTTTATCATTTATTACGGTTATTATTTGATGTTCTTAATAAAGTTTATCTTAACTTCAAGGGGTAATATTTTGTTTTATATAAGCTATTAAACTGATAAAAAAGATTGGGGTTTTACATAACTTACATCACAAATGATACTTTACTTTCCTTCATACTGCGGTTGCTTTTCAATTTTAATCTTATCTTTTTCTTTGAACTTTATTATCTGCCACAATAATTAAATAAATAATGAACAGAGTATCCCCACATTATAAAGCGCGTATGAAACTATTTCGTAATACAATGAATAGAATAAAGTTAATTAACCGAGAAACCAAAATTTCCATGAACGTTTGAAACAGTAAATTGACTTGTTTGATGTGTGACTAATTTTATAAGGGTACAAATTAATTTCGTACTCTGTTAAAGCGAGGAATCAATTAAATGATAAAAAAAATCTAGGGACCTTAATTTGGATAAAGTAAGATAAGTAATGTGGACAAGTGACATCGCCATGCAATTTTTGGTTTCTCGGGTTCAGTGACTTTAAACAAAAAGTAAAGTTAAATAACTAAGTAATATTTATTTCGATCGGTCACAGATCTGCCATAAAAAAATGAGATTAAAATTTATTATCTGCATAATTTGAATTTTTTGTGTTTTGCATCAGCATCCAAAAACCTTACAAAAAAAAAAGAAAATTCATACAAAAGTATTTGCGACGTTTTAATTAATTATATAACTAAAAAAGGAACTTTCAATTCATTTTACAAAATTATTAACACACATTAGTTCGTTTAACTGTCATAACTCGAGCTCAAGCGATCGGCATTAATGGGAGATGGCGGACTAGAACTGGAATTGTTACTTGTAATGCTCTGACGAGAATCAGACTTTCGATCACTTGTTGATTTCATTGTCTCGTGAAGTGATGATACGCTACTGTCTAATGGACTTGGTGAGCGCGGTAGTGAAGACGCATAACGAGGTGGAACAATCGGTCGCTTGTTAGTGAGATTTGTTGGTCGCGGGGGAGTTCGTGGAGCAACAGGTGCGACTGTTCTCATTATTGCAACACGATGACTTGTTGGTGGTAGAGTAGCTGCATGTTCAGCAGTGTCGACAGTTGTTGGAAGATCTAACAGTTTTTGTTTTTGTAAATCCGGTCCCATATGACTAATGTGATTGAAATTCGTTGGCGCTGAGATTAATTTTCGACGTTCTGAACCACTGCTGATGTAATATTAACGAGTATTTCATTAATTAAATAAATTTTAAAAGGTTTTTTATTTAATTTCACGTTTTCTACTCACATTCGAATGGTTTTGTTGATTTCCCTTAACGAAAATCTTCGTTTTGGCTTTATTCGGCCTTCACGATCAAAGTTTGTCATATTTAAAAGTTCCCCTGCAATTTGCATAAGTTAATTATTGTATAATGATGTTGTCTCGTCATTTAAAATTGAATTATCAAAAGCATAATTAGCTTATCAATTCTCCTAGGTAGGAAATTGAAAGCATGAAAAATAGGAAAGAGAAAACGAATTTTAGGGGGGAAATGGGAGAAACAGGAAAAAATAAAAAAAGAATTCGAGAAATTAAAGTCGAGAAAAACGTGCAAATTTTAATGAAATAAATCAGGAATTTAAACAGAAATATTAGAAAAAATTATGAATTTCGTCCCATCTAAAATTTTCTTTTTCAAATTATTTTTCGTGACATTTTTTCTTCTTCTTATGTGGGAAGTTTATAATGGAAAATTTTCCCTTGGAAGTTTCTTGTTTAACTACGCTAAAGCTGATTTTACAGAATTTTAATGAACTTACTCGTATGCAAATTGGCCAAATAAATCACATAAGGAGCATCGTTCATCACCATTGTTGATAAATTTCCATTAAAACTTAAAGGTTTTGACTTTTTCAATCCAATTGATTGAACCCACTCGCCAGTGTGTGTGTTGAAAATATCGAGATGTGTCTCAGAGTACACCAACAAATGACCATCACAATGAGCTGAAAGAAAATATTAGCAACATGATGCAAAAATAAATTCAATGACATCTCACTTATATGTGTTGGCACCGCTGGATACATAATCTCACGATCACGCGATTTTCGCCCTTGAATATCTACATAAATTGACAACGTTTGGAAGACTAACAGAAATTCGCCATAGCCACCAGCTCCTTGACTAGGTTGTAGTTCAATTACACGCCAGGCATCAACACCAGAATACATTAGAAAAGCGTTAAGCTGATTTTCTGGATGAACTAAAGCTAAATTTTCATTGACGAAAAGAAGAAGAATAAATAAATAATTTAATAAAAAGGGTAGTTGACCAATCATGTATCACCTTAAATCGTAGCTAATTACGGACTACTAATTTATGGCTTAAAACTTTATAGAAAGTGGTCCGTAATTAGCTACGATTTCAAGGTGGTGCATAATTGTCCAACTAGTCTATTAAAATATTTAATAACTTACACATTGCTTGAGCTTCGCCTTGTAAAAAGTAAGACGTGAATCCAGATTGATGTCCAACAACTAATCTCAAGTCAGATAAGATTTGAAGACTTTGTACGATGTAAGGAACAGTAAACTCGCAAATTTTGTGGTGTCTGGTTTTGTTACGATTAATTTCATATACGAAAATTTGTGATCCATTTGGACGTTTTAATGCAATGATAAAACTGTAAATATTTTGAGGAGTTCGTCTCACAAGACCAGTGCAAGCTGTTATGCAATATTTTGAGTCTGCAACTTTTATCCATTCAACGTCACTCGCCTCAAGTGCTCGAATCGGAAGTAATCGAATTGATCGTTGTTTGCCACATAAAATCATCAATAATTGCTCTTCATTCAAATACCAAATGTTGATAATTTTCTTACTTTCACCAATTCTCGCCACTTCACAACGATCAAGTTCAACACAATAAAGACCATCATCTGTTCCAATAAGAATCCTCTCTGGGTCAACAATCAATCCACAAAGAGCATTTTTTACAACACTCAATGCATTGTCGAGAACTTCTTTGACTTTCAAAATTGCGGTATTCGGAAGATTGTTTCGCTTAAGAATTCTATGAAGTTCACTCAAAGCAACAACCCATTTGTTCTTCTCCGACTCAGAATCAGCAAGCATGAGAGTTTGCAAAGGTTGAGCGTCAAGCAATGATGTTGTAATACGAAAAATGCAAGGAACGTCTTTCTTAGCAGCATGAATGACGTCACTTTCTCTTACACCTGACACAGCAAATTCAGAATCTCTCATGTCGAGAACTTGTGCAACATGCACACTTGGCATTGCATTACGATCAGATGTAATATCGTAGAGAAAGAGTTTAAAGTCACAAACAACAACAAATTGTCGCGTCCATCCACGCTTAACGACGCCTTGCTTTGGTACTTTCACGTAACCTTCGTATGCTGTTCCAATTCCTCTTGTTGGGTCGATTCCCAATGGACGCTTCGACTGACTTGCTGGACAATGAGTTGGCACTTTTTGACAGCAAATCATATGACAAGCAAATCCACACAATTCACAAACGACCCCTTGACGTGTCAATCCAACCATAAGTGACGTACAGTGATTGCATTTTGTCGGAGATGAAAATGTGCGGACTAAAAATTGATGAATCTTTGGCTTTGATGTCATTGACATATGTTGTTGTTGCATCATTGCACTGTGAATGCTGTGTGAATGATCTAACGATGCTTCACTTAGATTACTCTTTGAACTGCTCAAACTATGAATTCGATTATCTTCCACATCACCTTCGTCACTTTCTACCGAATGATTTTTAGTATTTGCATAAACAGAAGCTGTTTGAGGCTGTGGAATTGTTTGCAGCTGTGTTTGTGATGAATATTGATGTGGAATTGAGGAAATGCTTTGAGTTTGCTGATTCAGTATGAGATTGTTTGATGATGAACTTGTTGAAACTGCATTGTTGTTCTGCTGAGATGAACGTTGCGATGTAGAGTTTGGTGAGGTTTGTTGCTGAGTTCATTTTAAAAGAAAATTAGATCAAAAAATGTTAATTTATGTGTAAAGGAAAAAGAAATGAAATGATTTTATACCACAGCTAATGGAGTGTGAGTTGCATTTGAAGATGATGAGCCACCACCGACAGATTCTTTCAAAAAATGATCCAGATACGATATTTGTGAAGATGGACGCTCAAAGACTATGCGAATTTTAATTTTTATTAGATAAGATTAAAGATTCCGATTAAAAAGTTTTAGCTTACAATTTTCGCCATGCTCTATTCGATGTTGAATATCCTTTAATTGACAGTCTTTCTTTTTAACTTCGTTATTCGTTATTTCTAATCGATGCTTTGTTTCATAAAGATCCCTGCAGAAAGAATAAAAAAATTAAAAGAAGTTTAATTAAAAAATAAATCGTAATTACTTTTGTGCCGCAATGAGCTCAGCTCTTGTTCGACTTAGCTCATCGGAGATTGAAGCTTTTGCTTGAATTTCACTTTGAAGGGAACTCTGTAAATTCAACAATTCCATTTTATCCAATTTTTGTGATCTTCTGTTGCGCCAGTTTTTATCGACAGGATTTTGTTGTCCGCTATGTTTAAGATACTCAAGCTCTTCCGTCATTTTCGTGGCTAAAGCTTGAAGATATCCGCGAGCATCTTTTTCATCGCTAACCCATTGAATAATTTCAGATATTTGTTGTTCCCAATGTGCAATCGCTTGCCGCTTACTTCTCAATTCTTCGTAGTCACTTTCCATCTGAAGGCGATCAGCATGATAAAGTCGATTAGTTTCGCTTATCATTTCAAGTTCAGTCAGCAGCTTTCTATTGTCCTCAAGTAACATTTTCTTCTCTCTTTCATAACGAATTCTCAGATCTGTAATTGTATCTTCAGTGTCATTGTGTGAATCAGCGCGATTACGAAACTGTTCGAGTTCCAGTTCCAACATATTTTTGCTATTCTCAACTTCAGCCATTTGATTACGAAGAATTGTCAATTCTTGGTTATAACGCGATTGCTGCTGATTAAGCTTCTCAGTAAATTCAATTTCCATACGCTCAATCTCAAGTCGAAATGACTCGGAAGATAATCCAATCGAATTCGATGATCCAAGTTCCGATGAGCTTCGACTTCTTGTGTCGATTTGTCGTCCAAACTCAATTCGATCCTTATTAGCTTCGTAATCTTGTATTTTCATTTCCATATCCCTTCGACTTTTCTCGATCCGCCTAATCTCATTTCGAAGTGAATCAATTTTCTGCATTGCAACTTCAAGTTCTTCTTCTTTCTCACGAACTTGATTGGAGATCTTCTGTTTTTGAACTCGAAGATTTGAAAGTTTGTCAGCTACTTCCGTATATTCATTCATTGCAAGTTTTCTTTGTGTCACAGCGTCTGTCAATTCTTTTTCCTGTGATTTTAATCTATCGAAAAGGTCCGTTTTTTCCTTCTGCAACTCATCACGTTCATGGCGCAATGACCTGATGATTTTATCAGCTTCTCGAATCTTAAACTCTAATTGACTATCAGCATTCTCTAAACCCAAAGAGTTAATTTGAAATTGTTGATTTTCATAGCTTTTTATTTGACTTGAAAGTTCGCCATTTCGCTTTGTTAGAATGTTTATCTCATCTTGAAGTTTTCGTGTGCTGTCAGGACTTAAATCGTTGAGACGTTTCTCATCAAATGGATTTGTACTTTGTTTGATGGCAAATTGATTCTCTGTTGTGTTAAATGTTATTTTGCCTAAATCAGACAAATTACTGTCTTTTGTAAATGTGAAACCTATAAAAGGCATGTGATGCCCTGAGAAAGCTGGATTTCCTGATGGCGGAACAACTTCCGACATTCTATTTTCGGTATCATCAACATCAAAGTTGGATGTGTCAGTTGGACTTGAAACATCAGGAATATATGGTGGTGTGGAATGTCTTAGATTTTCCCAATCGACACCTTCAAACCAGGGATGCTTCTTGAAATCATCAATTCCATTCTGTCCAAGACGAATTTCTGGAGCACAAATCAACTTTCGGATCAGATCTTTTGCATTGTCCGTGACAGAGAATTCCGCATCTTCAGGTGGAAAGTCAAAGCTTGTCTTGTGGTTCATGATTTTTCCATAAGTCTCAACCAAACTTTCAGCATAAAATGGTGTTTCAGCGAATAACATTTCATACATACAAACACCCAGTGACCACCAATCACACTCAGTTCCATATTTTCCCTTTCCATCTTCCATCGCTCGAAGAATCTCAGGTGAAATATAATCTGGCGTTCCAACAGCAACGTTTGATTGCACAAATCCATTATGCATTCTCAAACATGATCCGAAATCAGCTAAACGGATATGGCCTTGTGCATCTAAGACAATATTGTCCGGTTTTATGTCTCGATGAATATAGTTGAGTTTATGAATTGAATCGATGGCGAGAATCATCTCAGAAATGTAAAACTTTGTCATTTCTTCCGGCAGTCGATCTTCAAACTTACTGAGTAATGTTAACAAATCTCCACCAGAATAATAATCCATCACCAAATAAAGATTTGTTTCATCTTGGAATGCATAATGAAGGTTTGTTATCCACTTCCTATTGCCATATACCAACACGTCACGTTCCTCTCGAAAACATGCTGTTTCAGCTCGTTTCAACATTTCCCATTTGTTGAGAATTTTCATGGCGTAAATTTGATTACAATTTTTCAATCTTACGAGGCAAACCTCTCCAAACGCTCCACGTCCAATGACCTTGATGACTTCGAAGTCATTTCTATCTAGTCGCAACTTTTTTATCAAATTAACTGCAGTTCTTACTACAATTTTAATATTTTTGTTGTTGTTTATATGCATTGAAAAAAAGAAAATAATGAGTGGGTGGATGAACGATTAAAAACATTGACCAACTTACATAATTCCAGAAAATCGGAGACTGTTTTTTCCCGTCTCAACGACGAATTACTGCACTCGTCATATAAAATAACAAGTGCATCAAGAAGCGTCTCAACACTAACAATCTTCCCTGAATGCACCGATGTGTTAAAATTTCCTTCTAATTGATTCATAATTGAAGTAGTTGCGGCTGTTAAAGCACTGCTGGTGGCGGTCGTTGTTGTTAATAGGGCGATATGCTTCAGTAAATTAGTTGCATTGTTATCGGTGATTACATCTTCCAATTGTTTGATGCGTTTTGTTATAGAATCTAAGAAATAACATGGAAAACCTCGATAAGTAAAAGAGTTAAGAATTCAACATAAAAAGTCAAATTTACATATAATGAATCATTGTTGAAGTCTTGCTTAAAGCTATGTGTAATACTTACCAACAACACGATGATTCAAATCCAATGTTGTTGTCTCCTCAGTCATATTTTTCTAGTGACGTTCACTTTTAGTTTCTAATTTTTTAAATGCAATTGGCTAACACTCGCACAGTACAGGATAGGGCGGTTTTAAATTTAGCGTTTTGATGATAAAGTTTAATGTTCATAAACTTAGATAATAACTCTTACCGTTGTCTATCCTAACATTTACTTGCAAATAGAAATTATTGTCGTTTTCTAGGCTCAACATAGAGCTTATGATTTCCAATTTTCTTTCATTTACTCTTCTTCTCAAAAAAAAAAGTTAATTACAACATCCTGCAAAGAAAGTAGTAAAATTAATTTTAAAAATTGCATAAATGATGTTGGCAAAATTACAGAAGAATATGAAAAAAAAAATAATAAATTTTTTGATCAAATTCGCTACTTTCTTTCAAAATATAAGAAACTGCTAATACACCATAGTTTCAATGCATCAAAAAATGAATTAGTAAAGTTTCCCACAAATGGATGAAAAATCGATAAATTTCTTTTTCTTACAGACAGAATTAATTTTCTTATTACATAGGCTCAGTGACGCAAATTGCTGAATTTACTTTTGCTCTACATGTTATCATATCGTTAATAACTTTCAATTGAACTATTCAATACTTGAAATTGTACAAAAACATGATTTAAGGAAAATTTTACTTCCTACTCACTCTCGATTACATTTTTAGATATTTTCATGAGAATCCACTACTTTAATGTATTTCCTCATAATTATAACATGCATAAAACACTTATTTAACAATTTTAATCGTTTATCTGAATTAAATGTGGCTAAAATGTATAATAATCAGAGAAATAAGTAAAGTTTCTTGTCTTATGCTAATAAATTAATAGAGAACTGCAACTCGTACTCAAAGGCCCTTCGAACCGTTTCAACCGTTTCAACAATTCACCCAGAAAATAAAATATCCAATGAGCTAAGCTAAACATTTTTAATAGTGTTAATTTAATATGAGAAATTTCATAACTAATAAAATTAAATATCCAATCTTACTAAAGATATATTAAAAGAAGATTAATTTATTTCTAAGTCATAAAAGTTTTTTGTGTTCGTACAGTGACTCCTAATATTTTCCACTTCTAACAAAACAAGTCTTCTTAAATGATATAAAAACTTATTTTCTCATGAAGCTAATGAAAATTTAATAATTAGGTATTACCTACATGCTCAAGAAATTTTAAGATATGAAGTGCCTTAGAAGATTTAAGTATTTCTTGTTTGCCTGGGAAGAAAAAAATGTAAACAAATTGATTTTGCTTGTATTTGTTGGATTGTTTCACAATAAATTTAACTTCAGTTCATTAATAAAATACTATTGAAATTTTTTTGTACGTATTATATTTGATTGGATATATGTTTTGTTACTTGTCACTCGCTCTAAAGCAGTATACATATTTTTGATTGATTATTGTTTCTGTCTTTCATTATCAATGATAAGGAATACGTGCCGTGCCGGTTTTTCTTTATTTTATTCATTTAAGTCTTCTTGCCCTATTAGAAAAAATTATTCAATCCTCGTATTCTGACGTCATTTCTTTAATTGTTATTTTTTACTTTTAGTTTCGGTTGACTTTCACGAAATACTGACTCAGTATTACTTTTTCTGTTACTTAAGTTAGACGTTTTTATTAGAGAATCTACGAAGAAACACAATTTAATATAAATTTCTTTGCATTAATAATCTTATCGATTAAATTAAACCTTGATTGTAACAAATACTCAATTAAATATATCACACAAAAATTGTTTGATTATCGCAGTTTACTAAATCGGAGATTTTGATTAATAGATTATCTTTTCAAAAGTCTTCATTGTGATCAAATTAAAGCATCAATGGGAGCTGGAAGTTGTAAATCTTTTTCCTCAAGACAAGCAGAGGTTGAGCCTCGGATAATCACTGGAAACCGTAAGTCAATACCTTTTCATTGAACTCATTGTTTAAGTGACCTTGAAAACAAACCGAATGAAAACGAGATTGGCGAATATTTCATATTTATATTTCAACATTTATGCTTTCAAAATTATACTATATAAAGATACAAAGATTAATTAAACGCTAAACCATAACAAAAACATTTGTTGAAAACCGAGATTATCATGAACAAATTGTACATTGCACATTACGATAATTAAGGTAAAAAATTTCGTATCAAATTTCTTGGTCTGTTTCTTGAAAAATTCCAATTGTTAAATAGTCAATGAGCGATGATATTTTTCAAAAATTCCACTCCAATTTATTATATACAAAATGTACTAAAATTTAATTACTTAACCCTTAAGCATTCTTACCAATCAATTTTGAAAGAAAGGAAATGTTTAAGGATCGCTAAAAATCAACATTTACTAAACTATATTAGGTATTCAAGTAGATTCCTAAATACAAAACACACGCAAGTGTTTAGTCTCATTTCCTTTTCTCCTTCCACTAAACGCGACTTTTTCCTTTTAGGTTTGCTTTCATACTTGAAATTCTAATAATTAATATAATCATAAAAATCAATTTGAAGTTCAAATACACATCATTAATATGTTCATGCTTCTTTGCTATGAAAATCAGCAATGAAATAACAGGTTTAACATTTCATAGAGAAAAATAAAATAGTAGTCCAAAGTATAGTTAGACACAGAAATCTACACTTCTCATACAATATTTCCTGACTTACGAATATCTAACTATTAGAATTTAAGCTAGCTAGCATTGATAAAATGCATAAAATTTGTTTTGTATCCTAACATTTCTTTTGCGTCACGTTTCCTTTCTGAAAACTTCATATTAATGTGCGTTAGAAGATGTAAAAGACTATGAGTTGTTACATTCACTTCGACCTCAACGCGGAGATCTTGAATGAACCATGAACCTTTAATAATATTTCTGAATGAAAATAAAACCTTCTTTATTGTTTTTGTAATAAATAGCCATTAGGTTTGCATGTTCTGCATGCTTGAATGAGAAACAGACGTAGTTTTTCCTTCAAGCATGGAAAGTTAATAAAAAAAGAAGTTAATTGTCAAATTGTGTAATCAGAGTCATAACTTGAAAGTGAACGCGAGTCACCATGGGTCAAAATATTTAAGTTAAATACCTTACAAAAATATCTTTTTATTCTCACGCTTTTATTTTATTTATACTTTTAAGTCTGAGTGATAAAAATTATGACGAATCAGACGTTTTCAAATTGATAAAAATTTCTATTTAAAACTCGTAAGCTTCTGAAATTATATTTCACCGCAGACCTCGAAGATAAACATTAGATAACGCAAGTTAGGTATCTAATTACTTTCATTTTACATTAAAAAAAAAAGTTGAAGAAAAGAGAGAAATCGAATCATTTTCATTCAGAATTGTTTTGAAGAAAGTCATTTCTTACGAATAAAGAAATTATTAAAATGTGGAAATTTTTCGGTGAATTTGAGGCCTTTTATTAAAAATAAAGTAATATTTATCTTTTTTCTAGATTCTAATGATGACGAATTTGTCGAAGAAGTTGTTTGTAAAGAGTCGGAAATTGAGGAAAATCAAATGAAGAATTATGATTTTGGTGGATCAAAAGTTTTGATTGTCAAACAGAATGGAAAGATATCCGCACTTGGAACAAAATGTTCCCACTATGGAGCTTTACTTTCAACTGGTGCCCTCGGAAATGGACGAATAAGATGTCCATGGCATGGTGCTTGCTTTAATATTGAAACTGGTGACATTGAAGATTATCCTGGTCAAGATTCAATACCTTGCTATCGAGTGAAAATCGAAAATGGCCAAGTCCAAGTTCGTGCAAAGAAGATTGACTTAAAAGCTAACAGACGAACAAAAGAAATGCTCGTACAACAAAACGATGAGAGAACTTTTGTTGTTGTTGGCGGTGGACCAAGTGGAGCAATATGCGCTGAAACACTTCGACAAAATGGATTTGGTGGTCGAATTGTGATGGTTTGTAAGGAACCAAATTTACCTTATGATCGAACTAAACTCAGCAAGGTGATGGACATGCCAGCTGAAAAACTTCATTTACGAACAAAAGCCTTTTATGATGATAATAATATTGAAACTTTAATTAATGTTGAAGCTATAGCTTTAAATATTTCTAACCAAAATATTGCTCTCAGTAATGGTTATCACATTAAATATGATAAGATTTATATTGCTACTGGTTCGTCACCACGTAGGGTTGGAATCCCTGGAGATGACCTCAAGAACGTTGTGACACTGAGAAACATTGTCGACTCACATTACATCAATGAAATTTTGAATTCTTCCAGTCACGTTGTTGTTCTTGGTGTAAGTTTCATTGGCCTTGAAGCTGCTGCTTACTGCGTTAATAAAGTGTCAAGAGTCACTGTCATTGGAAGAGATTCCGTTCCTTTGCGACCCATATTTGGTGAAGCAGTTGGAGCTCGAGTTATGGAATTTTTCCAAGATCAAAATGTTAATTTTATTATGCAGAACGGTATTAAAAGATGTCATGGGAGTGACGGCATTCTGCAGTCAGTTGAATTAAATGACGGTTCGATCATTAAGGCTGATGTTTGTATCATGGGAATTGGATCGACATTAAACACTGCTTTTCTTAAGGATAGTGGGTTGAAAATAAATAGTGATGGTTCTATCGATGCAAATGATCGTCTCGAAACCAGCATTCCCAATGTTTACGTTGGTGGTGATATCGCCAATAGTCCAGTATTCGCAAACGATAATAAATTAACTGCTATTGGCCATTATCCGTTAGCTCAATATCATGGAAGAGTTGCTGCCGATAACATGTGTGGAAAGTCAAATAAACTTCACGTCGTTCCTTTCTTCTGGTGCATGGTGTTTGGGAAGTCTTTCAGATATTGTGGATATGGAAAACCATCAGAAGTTCACATTGAAGGAAACTTGCAAGATATGAAATTTGTCGCTTTTTACCTAAACGATAGTGGAACTGTCATTGCAGTGGCATCATGTCAGAGAGATCCTGTTGTGTCCCAGTTTGCTGAATTCCTTTCTCAGGGACGAAAACTTAAGAAAACTGAACTTCTGACTGATCCGTTTGGTTGGATTCAGAATATTAACAAAACGAATTGTGATATTATTAACATTCAAACATTCTTCCTTATTTAATATTATTCAAATCGATATTTTTATCAGATTTCTTAACGTGTCGTCGCTCTCCTCAGAGTACCTAATTATTTTTTGAAAATTTATTCTCTCATGTTAAATGAAAATTTCTCGTTTTCAGCAAAAGAAAAGCAACGTAGTGTTTTTTATCTAGAACGTTTAGTAAATAATTTAATAAAATTATTATTTAAATATATGATGAATGGTTGACTTTGCAATATTTTCAATTATAAAACCACTTAGCACAATTGGTGAATGATTTTAGCCACAGTTAAAAGCAATAAAGAAAATCTAACTCAAAATTTCCTTGAATTAAAGAAGAAATTGGAAGTTACAAAGTCGCTTCATTAATCATAAAATTGTTTATATTTCTTTGTCCATGTTTTCCTTTTCTGTTAATTTAAAACCTTTAAGGTTGAAATAGAAATTACCACTGAATGTAAACATAATCGTTTTATACCATGTCATAATACTCCATAAAATCATTACACAAAACTGATCAATACCGATCTGTCTCTTATAACTTATTACTTGCATAGAATATGAAATAAAATATTTAATTTTGGTTGAATTGTAGATTATGCTGAAAAGATTGTAAATTGGTTGAATTTTAGTTTGTAGTTTTCAAAATAACTAGGAAAATAAAAATATTAAGTTAAAAAGAATTTATTTCTGCTTTCTTCTGATAATTTTATAAGTAGAAAAGCTGGAGCAATAAATCAGTGAGAAGAATATCCAAAAAATAAAATAAAATACAAAAAAAAAGAGTCTTATACGGATGAAAAAAGTGGAATTTTCGCATTTCAAGCATTCGATGGTTCAATTTCATTAGCTGCTGATTCAGGTTCTTCATCGTTGTAGATATTTTCGGCCATCTGCCAGACCTGCATAATGTTATCTTCAGAGACAGAACAGATAACCCAGGGCTCATTTGGATTCCAAGAGAAGTCCGAAATCTTGGCTGTATGTCCACCATGAATGAAAAGTAGTTCTGGAGGTCCATCTTCAGCATCTTCTGCTGTTTGTTCTTCACCAATCTTTGACAAATCCCAAACATGTAAACGACGATCGGTGCCACTGCTGGCGAGAATTGTTTCGTTATGTGGTGACCATTGAACTTGGAAAATTTCATCTTTATGTGATTCGAAGGAATGCAACTTGAGTTTTAAATTTCGTAAATCCCATAAAGCAACAGTTTTATCGGCAGATCCTGTAGCCAGAATGAACTCTGAATAAGGGGTGAAACTCAAGCAATTGACCTCTGCTGTATGTGCATCAACGGTATGCGATGGTTTTGTAGTGTTATTGACTCTTGTATCCCAAATCATCAATTTTTGATCGTCGGCTACAGAACCGAAAAGAGATTCATGCAACAAATGCCATGCAACGTCTTCAACGACAGCTGTATGTCCAGTGAAAATATTCTTGGCATCAATAATGCGATACTCTTTAGGAGTCGCATTAATGTCCCACAAGCAAATGGTATGATCATCACTTGCTGATAGTAAATATCCGTTTAAGTTTGGATTCCATGATAGCCCATAGCCTTCCTTTTGGTGACCACGAAGTCTGAGATCTGGATGACATTCACCAGACGGTTCGGGCTTGCTGGGATGTTTTGTGTAATCAAAGACAAGAACATCCGATGATGGAGTCTTTGTGGCAATGACACAAGGATTTTGTGGCATAAACCGAGCACGATTTACTTCTCCTTCATGATTGATCTTAATTTCGATCTCAATCTTCCCGGACACTGATCCAAAGCCTCCAAACTCTCCTTTTTCATTATCATAGTGGCTTGCATCGAATTGAAAATCTTCATTGGGAAGCTGAACACTAGCGATAAGGAGATGATTTTGTTCATCGGAAGTGTGTGTTCCGAGAATCAAACGATGAACTGTATAATCCTTACCCTCAGGTCTGGTAACATCTGGCAACCACTGAGCAGTTAAAGAAGGCCATTCTAGGGCATGAGTCATTACCAAGTCATAAAGAAAAGGCGTATTCTTTTTCCAAATCTTATACTCTTCATTAATAACTCTCTCTTCAACAGCATCATTGTCGAAAGGTTCAGTTGCTGAAAATGGAAACCAGAATTAACCTCATTATAAATATTTATTTTCATAAACTAAAATATCAGTGAGAAATTGTAAATTTCATATTCTCATTTTAAATAAATTAAGATAATGTGTAGTGAGATCGATTGCAACAATAATATTGATACAAATACATACCAACTTCGCTTCGGTCTCCCATGTTTGAAATTTTTGTTGGCGCAATTTTTTTTGCAAGAAAAATAGTATTTGTTAGATTTTTTACCACTTAAGCTGTCTTATTTATGTTTAAAACTGTTTTTGAGAAATGTTTACTCTATTTTTGTATTTTAATAAGATGCTTAATCTTGAAAACAAATTTGTGTACCACAGAATGAAAGCTTCTTTTTTAGAATGATGCGAAACATTCCAATTTTGAACCGCACCGGAAAGCAAACATTTAACAGTTCCAAAAAGATGCAAAAACTTATAACCGGTTCAAATTTTTTCTATCTGGTTGAAAAATATTTTTCTTTGTAAAAATAAGTGAAGTGGAATTTCAATTCTCTGTTGAGAAACTGTGCATCATTTGAAAGATACATTCAGATATTTTTTAGGTCATTCTCGATTTGGGTTCGGATTTTTTTTAGGTTTCTTTCAGGCTTTTCTAATATTTCTCTTTTTCTGAATTTCTTTCATGGGATTAAAATAAATTTGAATATAAAATAATCTTTCAAAACCTTAATTATTACATTAATAAACTAAATGAAATGAACATACAAACTATTCAGAATGGAGTTGATTTGGTACAATTGTATCAACCATTATCATTGTTTCTCAAACCTTTGGCAAATCTTACGATTTCAATTTCGCTTCCTCCAAATGTTTCAACTGGGAAGTCAATTAGCAATTTTGATGTCATGGATAAACTTCGTCAAATGATTCTTCCTGACTGTTTTTCCATCTTAAAAGTAAAAATCAATACTTATCTAAGTATTCCAGGTATTTTTATTCCTAACTTTCTTATCATTAATGTTATAAGGTCTTCAAAACAACTTTGGAAGTTTTAAAATTTGAAGCTGAATTAGAGGATCGTAATAAACTCAAAAATGTTCTTGCACGTCTCGATGGCAGAAAAGTTAAATTGACGGGCTATAATGACTATGCTCAAGTCAGAGCAACTGAAGCAAAAAGTGATTTTCCTAGTCGACATGACTGGGATACATTTTTCCGCGATGCTAAGAATATGGACGAGATGAAAGCTGGTGAGCGACCAGACACAATGTACCTTTCAAATTTGCCGATAAAATGGTTTTGTTCGAGGCATCATGAAAATGAAGAAAATGTTAAGCCGAGTGAAGTTCTATTTAAAAGGATCTTTGAGAAGTTTGGAGAAGTTAAGTTGGTTGATATTCCAATATGTGACCCGTACCGTCATAAAATGAAATCAGGATTGACAGGGTTAAGAGATTTTAGCTTTGAAAATGACATGTACTTTGAAGGGTAAGTTAAATTATTTATACATATTAGCGTTCGTTTTATATTAAATTAATGAAAAAATATGACATTAACTTTTAGTTATATTCAGTTCTCTGAGTATGGATCGTTTGTGCGTGCTATGGATGAATTTCGTGGAATGAAACTTGTACGAAAAGATGTGGACAAACTCTTAGCTGTAAACATTAATGTAACATTTGACAAAACGAAACATTTGAACGAAGCAAATATAAAACGACGGAAATTTATTAGAGATCGATTAATTGAAAAGGATCGTGAAAAAGCTGAATTGGAAGAGAAAAAAATTCGCGAAGAACAAGAGAAAAACGAGAAAGAAAAGTAAGAATTCTTTTTTAATCTTCCATATCTTTACATTATTAAATTATATTATAGAAAACTAGAAGAGGAAAAAAAGAAAATTTATCTTGAAAAACAAAGGCAACGAGAAGAACGCCGTAAACAGAAATATATTCAAAAAATATCTCAAAAAGAATCTATCGAGCTCACCAAAAAAATACACAAAGAGCAAAGAAAGTTACTTAAGACTCAACGAAAAGTTGAAAGTATTCGTCTTCTTGAAGCGTTGTTAGACCGGATTAAGACTAAATGTTCTGCTAATGACAGAGGAGCTCCTATAAAAGATTTCAAATGTTTCGATTTGCGCACTAAAATACACAATAATTCCTCAAATTCCAAAATTATTCATCAAGATGACATAAAAAAAGAAAGATCTTTAAGCATTGCAAGTATCAGTTCTAATGATAGTATATTGAGTAATAACATGAGTAAAAGCAACAAAAAAAAGGAAAAGAAAAAACGAGACACATCAATTTCATCTTCCAGTAGCAGTAGCAGCAGTAGCAGCTCGAAAAGCTCAAACATCTCAAATAATAAAAAGAAATCATTAACCGCACCAAATAACGGATTTCCAGGTTGGGTTAATTATTCAGAAGCAAGTGAGTGGATTGCAGCTCCAAACTACAATTACATTTATCCAGCCCCGCTTTATCATGGAATGGTTCGTCCTTACGTCAACCCAAATTTCCATGGTAGATATCCTACAAGACCCTGGGGTAGTCGAAACAGAGGGAGGGGACGTGGATATTATTCAAATTATAACTACAATGGAAGGTGAACTTTGATCTTTCAATATATTCAAAATTATCCTTCATAAGTTTTCTTTGCAGATACAAACGAAACTATAATGACGATGATGACTATTACAATGATCATGATAGACGTTCACCTCGTCGTAATTACTCCAGATCTTATTCTAGAAGTCGAAGGTAATTCAAAAATTGATTGATTAAGAGACTTTATCATGTCATATTAAAATTTTATTTTATATTTTTTCAGTCGCTCAAGATCACACCGAAGACGAAGATCATCTTATTCCAGAAGTAGAAGCAGATCTCAAAGTAGAAGTTCCAAGAGTTCTAGAAGTCGGACACCCAAACGTTCGAGTTCTAGAAAGCATAAAACAAAATCTCGTAACTCTCGCAGCGTTTCTAAAACTAAATTAGTGACAACACTTAGAGACGGAGATATTAATAAGCCTCCACCATCATCTAGAAGAAATCGTTCAAGGAGCGGTTCAGCTTGGACTTCCGATGGAGGTAGAAAATCTGATAAATCAAGGAAATCTTGGTCACGTGAAGCCTCTTCAACTAGAGAGAAAATTAGTATTGAGCCAGAAAAACTTTTGAAAAATGCGCGTGAAATTCAACTTCATGTTCAACAGAAGCTTAAAGAGCAGGAGGAATCAAAAGAGAAGAAGATGCTAGATCTTTTTGGATCTGAAAACGAAGCAGTTAATTGAAATATTTCATTGACTTTGTATGAAAATGGACGAAAAATTTCGACATCGGCAGACTCATCAAAAGTACAATTGCCCAAACGTGCATTCAAAAGTGTGACACTGGAATAAATTATCATTTTCAAAAATGTAACTGAATATAAGCTTTATTGTTTTTATTCTCATTTTTGTGCTCCGATCGTTTGAATTTTAAAGTGATTGTGAAATAAAAACAAAAAGTTTTTTTCTTAATTTGCATCACTTTGTCTTTCGTTTTCCTCTCAATTAGTAATTGTAATAAATTTCCAGAACGTTTCAGTTTCATTAAATTAAGAATAAAAAGTCAAAACTGATGATTGATTACCACGAACCAACAGGAATGGCGGCATATCCAATGTCAACATATCAATCCAAGACATGTAAAGTGGTGCTGAAACATGATCCTAATAAGATTATAGTTTTATTAATTTATTAAGTAACCAGATAGGATTAAAACTTTACTTGTTTTGGCATTGGAAGAGACATAACAATCAACGAAGCATTACGAGAATGTTCAAGCAGCATTTCTCGTAATCTTAACTGTAAATTGGTTTTTTGCTGAAGTTCTCGATACTCTTTAAATGATATAAAAATATCTTCATTTTGACCTTCCATAAATCCATCAATAATTCTTTTATGCATGTTAATAGTTTCATCTCTTGGTTGTTCAGTAACACCTTGTAACATTGTGAGGCAAGCGTATTCAATTCTGAGTTTTGATAGAAGATTTGCCATACTACGAGGAAATAATATAGAAAAATGCTTTTCAAATATAAAACTAATTAAAATTTACTTTTTCTCTTCCACCACTAATTCTTGCTTTCTGTTCGTCAAAGCAAAAATTCTTATTTTACAATTGGCCCATGCTGATCTTGTTGAGATTATATAAGGAAGGAGCATTGTTAGTCCACCATCATCGTAAAGCCACCAAACATCAATTGTTCCCTTCGGTTGTTTATCTTGAAAAAAATTCATTGCATCTTGAACATCTTTGGTCATTGATGTTCCACCACGAGTGGCATAACTTAAATCACACAAAGATATATTGTTTAATGCAGGCAGAGGAACTGTCAAGAAAAATATAAAATAAGTCAGAAACTTCAATTAAAAAAGAGAATTTTCCTCACCAGATTGAGGGCAAACAGTTGAGTGATTGCTTGATGTATCCATGCCTTCGATATTCAAATTAGAGTTCGTATACATAAACTTTTGCGGTTTGATCGTGAATTCTTCGGTTGATTGCGCTCCTAATGAGAAATTTTCGGATGGACTATGTTTCATACCTGCGGTTTTGTATTGTGGACAATAATCTGAAAAGTCAATGCCATGTGGTAAGCATAAAATTGCTACTGACATTCGACAATCAAAAGCGTTGCTGTAAAACAATTCAAATAATTTATTAGACTTACAAATCTAAAGAAAAAAAATTAATTTCATTTACTGTAAAGCCTCGAAATAAGTTTTCAGTTTTGATGAACTGCTTGACTTCCAATCAGTTTTGAAGCCCATCAATACAACATTTGGTGATAATTTTCCAAAACCACTTGACTGAACAAGTGATCTGACTCCATTTTCAAAATCAACATTATCAACCAAATTATAAAAAGCTTTAATTTTCCTCGCATCAAACCATTTCTGTGCTTCACCTATCAGTTCAATGCGAGCTTTATGAGATAATTTGTCTTCATGCACGTCTCCAACAATCAGTAATGAATGATGTTTTGTAATTAAGTTTCCTAAGTCAATGAGTGGTGGTCGAGTGTGAGGCGAGCCCGCAAGAACCAAAACTTGAGGATGATAATTTTTGATATGGTCACGCAAACGTTGAAGACGAAGTGCAGCAGACAGTGCGGTTTTGTATGTTTGTTCTTGAGTAGATGATCCCCAATTTACATCAGGTTTTCTATACATCACAAGCAGATAAAGTGCAAAAATGATTGTGAAAGTTATCAGCGACGAGACCCATGACAGCATGAACATTATGGTAACACATAAAAGAAATCCAAAAAGACTCAACCATGCGTTATAGAACTATAATTTCGGTTAAAATATTATGTAAGGAAATAGTTTTAAATTATAATTTAATAATCACCCTGAATGAAGGTCGCCAACCAAGCGGTTTGACAAAAGCAGCGTGGAAAGTGCAAAAATTTATCAGCGCATAGGCAGCCAAATAAAAGTTTGAAATCAACGGTGCAACTGCATTCAAATCAGCAATCAATAGGAAGACTACCGAAATGATGAACGTCAATACATATCCTCGATAAGGTTCTGCGTTCTTTCCGTAACCTTTCGAAAAATATATCACACCAGGATAAATTTTATCAACGCCTAAAGCTTGAACAAGGCGAGGGACCGAAAGTAAGTTTGTAAGTGCTGTACTAAGGGTTGCAGCAAAACATCCAACATATATTAAACTACTCGATACTGACATCAACTGCATAACTGAGAAACTATTCTGTATACCGTATTCGCAAGTCTGAATGAGAAAATTTGATTTGTTTTTAACAAATTGATTACTAAAAGTTAAAATATAAAAAAATTAATAAAATTTACTTGATTTGCTATGCAACTAAAGTTGTAAGGCATATTGTGGTTGATCACTTCAGCTGCTATACCTGAACCATCTCTCAAAGCTGCTCCCCCAACAAAAAATACGAATATTAAGTAAGTTGCCATTGAAATGAGTAAAGCTAATAAAGTTCCTTTGGGAATCGATTTTGCTGGATCTTTTAAGTCTCCAGAAATGTTCGCACCAGCTTGAATTCCAGTCACACTCGGGAAAAAGATTGCAAAAACTGTGAAAAAATTTTGATTCAAGCCTTCGCTGAATCGATAATCTTGTTTGAGGTTTGACAGAAAAACTTCTGATGAGAATCCTACAAATCCTTTAGAGATGTCTTCGCTATTTGATGGTCCAAGAATCACACCGGCTAAGAAATTTATAATTGCAGCAGCGATCACTAAGACCAAAACATTTTGTGCTTTCACTTCCCATTCCATACCAACAGCACAAATGACAATCATAATTATAAGGGCAATGGTACCGATAATTCTTGTGTCATTGACACCATTATCGATAATTTTTATTCCGTATGAATGAAGTAATCCATTTAATGAGTCACAAAATCCGATTGTATTCATTGAAGCTGCAACTGCATTGGCGAATGCAAACACTACACCAACGGAAGCGCCAAACTCTGGTCCCAAAGATCTCGAAATGATGTAATAAATTCCCCCACCTTGCACTTCGCCATTCGTAGAAATGGCAGAGAGAGACAAAGTCGTTATGAGGCAAACAATTGCGGAAATACTTATTATTATTAATGTTTCAATTATTCCAGCTTGACCCAGAATCCAACCCATACGAAGAAACAACATAACGCCATATATATTCAATAGGACAGGTATCAAAACACCCTGAATCCATCCTAGCTTGAAATGTCCGTGACCTTTTGGCGTGTGATCCACGTGATTGATTGCTTCCTGATAGAAACAGAAAAGAAATTATTATCTTATGATAACTTATCCAAAGAAGTTTTTGGCTGATATGATGAACAATAAATTTCTAGGAGATCAAAAGTGTAAACTTTACGAGATTATTGAATGTGCGAGTAATTATAACGATTATCTCTATAAATTTATTTACAGATTTCCGTTGAGAATCTCCGTGGAGTTCACCCAACGATGGTCTTTGAGCAGCTCCTACTGATTTTCGATAGTTATCTAAGCGTGGAAGAACTTCCCTAAAAAGAGAAAATCGTTGATTATAATATACATAAACATTAATTGATTTTTCACTCGCTTTTTTCAATGAATTATTGTCAAAAAGTAAATTTGATTTTCTAATTACACATTCTACTGGGTTATTAATGAAAAGAAATTAGACTGGAACAAAAACTGTGCTTTCGGTTCCAAATAGGGACCTACAAAAATTAAGAGAATCTTCAATTTATGTCTAAAAGTTCTTGAGTTTTAAAAACCTACAAAGAGCCAAACAGCTAAAAAAGAATTGTTTTAGAATTTTCTATTTTAACGTCTCACAAATTCCTTTTAAACTATTTAAATTAAATAAAAAGATTCTTTCAGACATTAACAAAGAAAATGACGATTTTTCATTTTTAGTTAATTTTATGAGATAGATTTTATAAATAATTTACGAAATATTGGGATGTTAATTCCTTAATTACGCAATACGAAGAAAATTTTATTTTCACAAATAAAATTATTACTGATTAAGTAAAATCTTAGTTATGCAACATAAGTTACGCAACGTGATTTTGGCTTTAGTAAATGCTTAAATTTCTTTCTTTTTTATTTTGTTAGAAACCTAAACATAAAAATCTCCAGCTTTGTGTAGAAGAAATTTTAATCTTGATTCGTTTTATGGAATCCCGTACATAAAGTAAAAAAAATCTAATTAAAAATTTGGTTTGTTCGGAAAACCCAATTTAATTTGTTTTTCAATTAATTAACCATTAAATTAAATTAGTTGTTCTTACCTTGTGAGTTGAGCTAAATTTACGCTAAATCTACGAGCTTCATTTAAATTCGGAACAGATCTTGAATTTCTTCTTAAATAATTTAAATCTGTCACGTTGATTGAAATTTCACGAGAAAGTTTCTCAACACGTGGATTATTAGATTCTTCATCTATAGTGTCCACTGGATTGGTAAATCCCTTCATTTTCAATCTAAATTTGTAGATTTGTAAATATGTATTTGAATTATTATCTACATGTGTATCTTTAAAATATAAATCACTTTTTTTATATCCTGGTTGTGGATGATATTGTGGTTTTGATGAATATTTTTATTCGATATTCACTGCAGTGCTTTATGTTCGTTATTTTATACACATATCAACTTTATTAAATAGTTTTCCCTTAAACTTCACTTTAAATTTATTCATAACATAAGAATTAAATTTTAATTACTATAAAATAATTCAACTGTTGCTTCTTTGTAAGAATCTTCACTTTGAAGCTTTTCAAAATAATTTTATTTTATCAAATGAAAACGATTTTCAAATGATCCGATTTGCTTTACGTCTGTCAGGTAAATGATGAATTCTTGTCAGCAGTAGTTTGTTTTTATAATAATATTAATCTTCATTCGATAAATTCTTATTCAAATATGAGAAATATTGAATGACTCTAAGTGTTTACTAAACTATTATATAGTGTAAGTCACTAATTGACAACATCATATCTACTCTAATACAGAATAATCGTCACGCTCTATGTATTTTCAGGGGAAAAACTAAAATTTCCAAGATGCTCCAAATCGGTTTCTTACTTTTTAGAAGTTGAAGAAGGCTATCTGAAACATCTTTTTGCATAATATTCTTCATGTCGAAAGTGAGTGGAAGTGACTTAAAATCGACCGTGAAGTCACCCTTATCTGAAAAATTTTAAATTGCATTTAGAATAAAATGTAATATCAAAAGATTTACATTCAAAATTCTGTAAAAGCAGAATAAAAGAACATTAAAGTTTAATGATTAAACTCAAGGTAATTTTATTGAAACAGTTTGATAAAAGTAAATAAAAATTGGAGATGGGCAAGCCTCACATGGGCAAGCTTCAAATTATGCCACAGCATAATTTTAAAGATACTCCGGCCTATGTAGGATTCTAAAATATATGAATGAAAATGTTGATGTTGAGACTCGTTGCCGTTTATACTTTTTTTCTTTATCGTAGCCTCTCTCTATAGCTTCACCCATTTTTTCAACTTGAAAAACTTGACAAACGCATTATGGAAAAACGAAAACATTTTATTTCACAGTGACTTACATTGAGTAAAAGGTAAGTTGTAATGAAATATGGAAAAATTTATCATATTAGCGGACAGTAAATGTTTAATGAAATAATAATTTTAATCTTGAAGATTGTATCAATCAACTTCAATCATATTAACATGTTTAAGTATCAAGATGTTAACATCTTTTAGGAAGAACATTTTTGCTCTAACTTCAACATGATCATTAAATCCATTTACCTATTTGTTAACAGATTTTTAAGCAACAAAAGGATTTTGAGGTAATAAAGAGAATATTTTACGCATATATATCTAATTTATCAAGTAATTTATTGTTCTCATTTAATTTTTAACGGTTTCTTTTACGCAAAGTGAAATTCGAAATGAATTCGAAAAAGCTCGAAATTATATTTTCGAAATTCATAATGTAAACATTGCGTTGAAATAAGTGATAAGAAATAAATTTTTGAAAGTTTTTAATTGATGAATTATATAATTTAAAAAATGTTAAAGGTGTTGCCTTTGAGAATGAATTATTTGAGTTATCGAAAATTTATTGCAATTGATCGGAAGGTGAAATAATAAGTTGAAATTTTTTGTGAAAAGTTGCATAAAATTTAATTTAATTAATTTTTTCTACCTAGGAAAGTGGACTGACGGGACTTAAGAACTTTTGGAATTCTTGTTATATGAATAGCATTATACAATGTTTAAGCAACACTCACAATGCAGTATTTGTCAGAAGAAACTTATGAGAAACATGTTAACAGGTGAATATCATTTGACATGAATGAGAAACTTAATTTGATGTGAATAAATAATTTAGAAACAACAGAACGAAAGGCAGTATCGTAAGAACACTTGCAGATGTGATTAAAATGTTGTGAAGTGGAGAACGTAAACATATTTCAAGTAAACAATTGAAAGCTGTCATTGCCGAACAAGATCATCTTTTTTATGGAATGGATCAACAAGATTCACACGAATTTCTCGTTATGCTTATAGATTAGCTCCAATCAGATCTTCAAACAATTCCAGTGGTGAGTTTTTTGACTCTTTTAAAACGATTTGATCTTATAAAAGATTTTTTAATGATTGAATTAGCATACTGCAGTTGAACTTCCTCCATCAGAGAAGGCTTGGCAGGAATACACAAAAGCTTCATCCTTCGGTTGTTTTATGGACAAATTAAAAGCACTGTTAAATGTACAGTTTGTTCGAAGGAAAGTTCAACGTACGACACATTTTCCAATCTCCGAACAACATCGATCGTTGTCATATTGATGAATGTTTCAACATGTATTTTCATGGAGAGATGGTGATGGGATGGAATTGTCCTCATTGTAAAGCACCACGGGACGCAATCAAGAAACTTGACATTTCCAAATTGCCACCAGTCTTAGTGATTCATCTTAAGCGATTTTACGCTGACCCTTACATGAATTGTACGTACCGTAAGAAAACTATTTATGTTGACTTTCCACTCACCGATATGAAAATGATGCCTTACGTTGTTCGAACGGGTAAGAACAATGGATCAGATCTACAGCACATTTATCGTTTGTATGCTGTGTCGAATCATTACGGAAGTACCGAATCTGGCTATTTTACACATCATTGCTGATAATGCACCACAAATTCAGAATCGTTGGAGATAACAAGATCGACAACGTCTTTACAGAATTCATGTGACTCTGAAATTTAATATTCACCTCTTGATATTTAACGTTGATCATCGTTTTATAATGTAAATATCAAAAATATATGATATGGAGAATTCTAAAAGTTATATTTTATTACTTATAAAATGGCTNATTGGAGATGGGCAAGCCTCACATGGGCAAGCTTCAAATTATGCCACAGCATAATTTTAAAGATACTCCGGCCTATGTAGGATTCTAAAATATATGAATGAAAATGTTGATGTTGAGACTCGTTGCCGTTTATACTTTTTTTCTTTATCGTAGCCTCTCTCTATAGCTTCACCCATTTTTTCAACTTGAAAAACTTGACAAACGCATTATGGAAAAACGAAAACATTTTATTTCACAGTGACTTACATTGAGTAAAAGGTAAGTTGTAATGAAATATGGAAAAATTTATCATATTAGCGGACAGTAAATGTTTAATGAAGTAATAATTTTAATCTTGAAGATTGTATCAATCAACTTCAATCATATTAACATGTTTAAGTATCAAGATGTTAACATCTTTTAGGAAGAACATTTTTGCTCTAACTTCAACATGATCATTAAATCCATTTACCTATTTGTTAACAGATTTTTAAGCAACAAAAGGATTTTGAGGTAATATAGAGAATATTTTACGCATATATAGAGCTATTTTACCTAACTTCGGTATTTTTTAACGTTTTTTCACATTTGGGAACTTTGTGCATTGATAACTTTTGATCTATAAAGAGTTCGGCAATGAACAAAGTTTCCAAATGTGAAAAAACTTGTGCACTTTCACTATGATTTTTTTAAGATCATGGCAGGTTAATTAAATATGTAAAATGGCTAAGAAAGTTGACAAATGTGTAGCTAAAAGTTACAGACAAAAAAGGAAACAGAATAAAGAATTAAAATTTAAAATCTTCCTCGTCTTCATAATGTGGATAATTTAATTCTAAATAAATAATTTCTTGGTTGATATTTTCTATTTATATGGGTTTTGTAAATGGATCTGTCGTTGGATTCATTTCGGATTGTTCTTCAGTTTAAAAATTTTCGTTCTCCTCATCTCCTAAGTTCTATACTTGACAACTGGCTAACTCGAGAGTATCAACCAAAATAATATCATTTGAAATAGAGTTTTCCGAGTCGGGTATTCTTCGGGTTTAAGTACGGTCTTTTCATAAAACCCAGAAGATGTACTAACATACGAACAATGGCTAAAGGAAAATTAGTTTTTGTAGGAGAGTTCATCATCATCATCAGAGTAGGGAGTGTACTGACCAGTACACTAAAGCGATTAAGAATATAGGAGTTATAACCCCATCTTGTTTCGCTCCCTGTATCTCGTCGTTTGATGATTGATGTTCATCATGAAAAAGTTCGTTAACTACTATCATTTTATTGAACAAAATATAATATATTCAAAGATCTCAAAACGCGAAAATCAGGAAGATGGGGGATATTTAGGATTTATTCTACAAACTTCAGAGATAAAATTCTCTGAAGATGAGAACCCTCCCCAGCCATCTCCCTGATCTCACTGTCAGCCGAAGAAATCGAAGAAGGGGGATCGGACCCCCGTTCTCCTCATGAAGAGGAGAAGATCCTCCAGATCCACCCTCGCGAGCTCCTCAGCATTGATGACAGTGTGGTTTAAGATTCTTCTCCTTACACTAGAGTGTGTATCGCAAGATGCTATAACGTGTTGCACGGAAAAGGATCCAGAAATCTATTCGTATTTCTCCTTAACCGAATACATGACATAACCCTGTTTTGGGCTTTATTTGTATAAAACATATCACCATTCGTTATATTAAAAACCTTACCTTTGTGCAACGCTGGTTCTTGAAGCAAAAGTATATCAAATAAATCATTTGCACATTTCTTTTGTAGTTCGTCGAAAGCGGATTTCCGTTTACCGGCGTTCAACTGTAGAATATGAGAGAAATTTTCTATGATTAAATGAATGTGTTTTTATGTGGAAATAAAGTTTTAATGAAAATGAAGGAACGTAAAAATCCTTCAGAATGATGTTCTTGTTCATTTCAGCTCTAATGACGTCGAGTTTTTGAGAGAGCGCGTTATCAATTCTGGTTTCAATAGACTTTAAACCATCGGAAATAGAGTTTTCTATTGTTTTCTTCAAATTCGCAGAGAGAACTTGGAATTGCTTATCCATTTCTTTCATAGAAAGCGCGTAATCTCAATGTAGTGTAATTGAAAGTAAATTATTCCAGCAACGACACTGAAAGCCAGAATACAGTTCCAAAAATGCGACTTCCATACATTTTGTCAATAAATGAAGAACTGAACAAATTCATTAAGATATCAATATCCAACTCAAAATACCGCAAAGTATTCTCAACTTTCAGAAATTCTATGTTTCATTGTTTAGTGAACATCAAGGTCAACATTATGATTCAAAATGTCACTAGAAACCTTTAAAGCATAGCAAAACCCCTGTAATTGCTTCATTTTCTTTCATGAAATATAATAAAGTAATTAATTATTGACGAAAAAAATATATTTTTAAATGATATTTTCATGGTTAATTCAAATTTTTCAATATTAAATAAAACCCGACCCGACCCGAAAACCCGCGGGTTTTAAAGAAACCCGACCCGAAATTTCGGGTTTTTTAAAATACGGGTTTTGGAAAACCCTACTTG